CCCTGTAAACTACGCACAGATGCATTCTTGGCCCCTTCAACAGAAACTGTCTACCAGATCGGCATTGAAAACATAATCAAGTTCAAAGGAAGCGCGACCCACGGTGGCGGCTCATGCCAACTGAGCCTGACCGAAGACCGTGAGCCAACCAAAGATTCTGAATGGATGGTCATCAAGTCCTATGAAGGAGGTTGCCCCACGAAGGCAGAGAAACTCGCCGGAGGCGCCACTGCCGACAATGCCCTTCACCTTGATTTTGCAATCCCCAAAGGCGTTAACCCCGGGAAATATACTTTGGCCTGGACATGGTTCAATCGTATTGGGAATCGTGAGATGTATATGAATTGTGCTCCAATCACCGTGGCTAGTGGCTCGTTGCAACAATCCTACAAGAGCATACAAAAGCAAACGCCTAATTTTCCACCCATGTTCATCGCCAACATAAATGGCTGTATCACCAAAGAGAACGTGGACATTCGGTTTCCTCAGCCAGGAAGCATTGTGGAGCACAATGGCAAAATGGATCATCTTCTTCGCGAAGGTGAGCCACCATGCACCGGAACACCTACATTCAGTGCCTTAGCAGCCATCAAGTCAACTATACCTGATCTTGCCAATGGTGTGCTTGGAGACACAGTTACATCTCCCGCTTCATCCGCCCTTGCCCGCATTCCAACTTCGGTTCCCTCTTGTCATGCTCTTCGCCGTAATTAGGACCATAGATGATATGTATCGAGCACTCAGGGCGCATATGTATAGGCTGACGTAAAATCAAAGGAGAAGGCCATGGCAAGATGCCTAATCAAATTCAGTGAGAATTTCAATGTCGTCGTTTCCCATATTTCAGTTTGAAGAATTTAGTATCAGGTTTAAGATTTGTGATTCGCTCTATTGTACAGCACTTAGAATGATTGAATAAGAACAGAAATCTGGGTATCATATAAAGATCGCTAATTCAACAGATCAGAAGAAAATCTCCTTGTCACGAAACACGAAGACGTTTTGTGTCTCCTGCCTCTGTTTGACATGGTCGTCGTCGTTTGGCTGCCCCCGACCGCTGTAAAGTCGGTCGACATTTCAAAGCAGAGCGATGAAAGTCGATGATCAAAGCACGGCCAAGCTCTTCACTCCAGAGGACATTGTCTCGCCGCAAGTCTTCATGTATTATACCGAGAGCTCTAATTTCCTTGTTCGATTTGTGAATCTCGCGGCGAAGCCACTGCGTCAGCTCCATAGCCGCTGTGCAATCGCCTCCCCAGCCCATTACGAGCATGTGGCAGATTTCTCCAGCGCCATGAAGAAAATAGATTTTTGCCAAGTCAATCGTACCCAAGAATACAGGCACAGCGGATCCTTGGGCCTTGCGCAGCACTCGATAAACCTGCGCTTCGCGGGAAACTTCCTTCCATAATCCTGACGTGGTGCCTTTACCGATGACCGTGTAACCATATTCCATGCAGGTAAGTTTGAATGGGGCACCGTATGAGCCGCAACCGCCCAGGGGGATGCAACGATCAATATTCTCGTCTAACTCATTTTTCAATGATAATATCATCTCCCTGGCGGAGATCGAATGCTGAGCCGAGTGCTTCTTGCCCCGGCGATGATAATCCACATTTGGACACGACTCATCCAGAACATCCCCGTTCTGCAAACCGAGCAAACATCGCTGCGTGCAGAATTGCGCGGCACGGCGTCGATGATGGTCGTCTTGGTCAGGACCAGTCATTTGCTGGCGACCTGATCGTCGAGCGGACGGTGAAGGCGTGACTTGGCTGATCCTCCGCTTATGGCCAGCTGCTTGATTGGTGTCAGAGCCGGACGAGTCCGGTGACTGCGAGCGCGGTCGAATCTCTGAGGGTGCACAAGTGGTTTGAGATCGTGTATGCACTCGACGGCCCTCCGAGGGAGACGGCAGCGGAGACGACGATGGTAGTCCATAGGATGTACCAGACTCCGGACTTGGAAAATCAGGGTTCGTGCTATCGGAGTGGGAGATTTGCTGTAGCTCGCTTCTCGGAATCTGCGAACGCGTGTGATCGAAGTTTGTCTTCCATTTGTGAAGATTTGGGCGCACGCGATTTCTCCATTCTTGCTCACGGATGGGTGAGCGAAATGCCATCAAACAAAGACACAACACCCTCGCAACAGACGACTTCCATAGCTGGACAACCGTATCGCTTTCCGGGTTTACTTCGCTGTGAGGATCACAGAAAAAGTAATAGACCGTGCTAGGCTGGTCACGCGGAACACGGAGGAGAACACGGGTAAGCCCATTTGTCACATATGAATATTCGAGTCCTTCCTGAATCATCACATGGTACTCTTGCACAATGGCGGAGCAGACGAGGCGCTCTGCACTGTGCTTCAACTTTGCTTCCTGGTCGGTAGGGATTTTATTAAATCTGACCATATCATTCCATAGGTCCATTGGTCGAAGTCCCATACGAAAGGTTGCAACAGACAACTTGTGAGGTGGCTTGTACTCGACCGTCGTCAGGACGGTGGTCGAGTTACCGTCGACACGATTTATGCAAAACTGGTCAGGTCGTGGGTGACTTGTGCTCGGCAATTGGCTTGCGTCAGCTTCAACGGGTTCGTTCTCGTTCAAGGAATTCGTATGATTGCTGAACTGGATTCCATCACCGAGCCCGAACTCCTCACGAGCAGCTGGCAGTTTGCACAGCTCGATGATTATATCGTGGACATGTTCCTCCACGCCAAACCGCTCGTAGGCCTCAAGTTCTTGCTCGCTACTAAGTGGCTTGCGAGCAAATCGACGACCGAGCCCTTCTATTTCGGCCAGAGACGAGAATAGACGTGGTGCCTCTCCCGGCTCGGGCTGAAGATATTGACAGACGGACCTGTAGACCTCTGAGAGCTGTTCTGGGCAGTCGGTCCAATGTTCCAATCGAGTCGGGCAGTATTTTCCGGTGGGAAGAGGTATTTTCCCAGTTGTTGAGCGGGATGGTGAATCAATTCTCAGCGATCGGGAGAGAAGGACATGGCAGTGCTGAATGAGCTCCGTGAAAGTGGTCGGTCGATTGTGCTCTTCTGCCTGCCGTCTTCCTTCTGCTTCTCGCTTCTCGCGCTCTTCCGCCTGCCGCCTTCTTTCTGCTTCCTGTCGCCTTCCTTCTGCTTCCTGCCGCCTCCCTTCTGCTTCCTGCCGCCTCCCTTCTGCTTCCTGACACCGTCTCTCTTCCGCCTGCAGATAAAGAGTTCTGTAATCTGGGAAGCTGGGGTCAGCCATTGATGTGTAGTAAAGAAGAGTGATATCCTGCGACAGGCGTCGATGGGCTGTCTCCACTTGGCTGATGTCAGCTGATCCCGCTCCCGGCAAAACTATTTCCCGGAAGCAAACACGACTTGCCGATTTTCGGGGAACGAGACGCGGCCCCGATAACGCTTCCTATAGGCCACAAATGCTGTATTGATTCACTATTATGCTGACATGAATTAGTAGGAGATACCATTTCTTCCCTTAAAAAAGCATTCCGTGTCAAGACTTTTTTTGCTTTCACGTGCTCGGTCGTTCGCTATGGATAGGACCAGCAAGTGTTTTTTATCTCGGTCTCTCGCCTCCAATTCGTGCCCAGACAGAGGCAGTCCCATTACTGCCTCCAGAAGTAAGCGGGAAACCATACTTATTAGGCCTGATTAATGATACCAGTTTTATGCGCGTATTTTCTGTCGCTGTCCGTATGAATAGCGAATAGATACTCACTCGCAGTATCCAGATACAAAGATGCACATCTTCATCATCACTATCAAGGAACTGTTCACGCTCCTGCAGACGGTTCCATCCGTACTAGGAACTAATCTCTGGGCCCTGGGAGTTCTCTTGCTCCTGGGAGCCTCTAAAACGTTTGTGGGAGCCAAGAAGCAGCTCTCAAGGAGCCCCTAGCCCTACGAAGCATACGGACGGAGATGTGGTCTGCGCGGGACCCACATGGGTGCATACGATGTTGGTGGGACACCTGAATAGTCCTGCACCTCACATTGCTGCTAACCGTGGCTATGACTCGGTGCGCCCCCAGTTTTGTTCCACATATGTGTCTCCCTAAACGCGAGGAAGCTTCTCTCTATTGCTTCCTTGAGCCACGACTTGTCTAGCGTCAG